TTTACACATGTAGTTGGATACAAGTGATGATAGGGAGAAGAATCACACAGATCTCACAACAGTCTTTTTTTTTTCTTCAAATATTTCATCTTCTCTGTACTTTCATTTGCTTTTTACCTCTCTCAAAAATGTATCTCAAGATTTATCATCTGCTCAATGAAGTCACCTGCCAAATTCAGCAGTCGGTATTATCATGGTCCTTTGAATTTATATTTTGTAGAGGAAAGACCAGGTTTGTCTGGTTTAAGTGACTAAAGGATTTATTTTTTTCATAGTAAACTATTCCTGCTTATGAATTCTAGGGTAAACCATAGCTTTCTCAAGTGGGAGCTCAAGGATTGTAGTGCATAAAAGGATGTATGCTGCACATATGGAGGAGTGTAGTCTGTAGTGATTGAAGCTTTGCAGTGATGGAAACACTGCATGCTTTTAACTATCTGCATAGATCACTAAAATTCAGTATCTCCTTCTGACTAATGTGCTGTAACTGCTAAGCTTACTTTCACCACTATCCTTACTATCAGCTCTTAACAATGACAGTGCTAACTGAAGGCTGCTCCTGTGAATAGAATAGTCAAGGGTGTTTTTTTCTTCACGTTGTCCTTTCAAAATAACATCTTGGTCATACGTAACACTGGTTACTCATTTCCGGTTCAGACACAGCACTTGTGGTTCAGTATGTGTCTACTATTGGATCTCTTGTGCTCTTTGCTGAGAAAATAGTTATTTGTAGAAATTTTTTTGACATGCATTTTTAAATAGGACAGATTGTCAACACTTCTCAATACTTCATCTCATAGATTCCACACACAACTAGAATAGATTGGTTGATGTGAAAATCTGTTCTTCCACCCATAGCTGTGTGTAAAAGGGCTAAATAGTTTCCTTGTTAACAGTGTTCAGTAAAAGGTCAGCAAACACCGTTCTTATTCGATCTGAATTTGAACAGCTTTCTTGTTGCCTAAACTAAAATGCCTAAATGGTATGAAGTTCAAAAAGTTTTGAAGTTTAAAAAGTATAGGTAAAGATTTTGTTGTTGCTGTTAACCTACAGAGCTCTTTGACAACTGCATGCTGTGTTGGCCATCTACTGGAATGTCATCTAAGAGACATTAAGGGGTAGAGGAATATGTTACTCATAATTATGAAGCTCCACATACAGTTCTGTTCAATGTCAAAGCACTTCTAAGTACTGCAGATGGCTAACAAGTAGCCAGATCTTATTAAAGAAATGCAATTACTTTCACTAGAAAGGTTTTACAGTTATGTTCCACATCCCTCAATAACCTCCAGAAGACAGAGAAACATTAGAGCGCTTATTTTACAGAGCAAAAAGCCAAAGAAGTAAAAACTAAATTATTTCATGTCCACAATTTGAGAACTGGTATTAGAATTCAGAATGGTTTTTTTTTTTTTGGAATTGGTTTTACTTATTATTCATACTACATTATTAAAGCCAGAGGACATCATTACACAACACTCAAAAATAAATGAAAGGACAAGTTTCAAGACAGACCAAAATTCTGCTTTAGTTTTTGCTTTCCATACAGGGTATACCTGAATCTTTCTCTGCTTTTTGCCTTATATCAACACGCGCACCTGCGTAGATTCAATGTAAATGAGAGCTAAACAAAATAATAGCATTTTATACTCTACTTTCTCATATATAAGTAAGTGGTTAATCAGATTCCTCTAAAAAATGCTGTCACTCAGTACAATAGACGGATTCATGCCAGTCCATTAATAAAACACACATAGACAAAGCATACAGCTTCCTATATCTAATCACTGGCTAGTTTAAGAAAGCTCTCTCCATCTCATACTAAGTTAAAACAGTCAAATATAAATCTTATTTTACACCAGTGGCAGTCCTCAGTGTCCAAAAATCAAGTCAGCACACACAAACATGAAATTGGCTCAACTCACAAGACTTCTTTTCAAACTATTGATTATTCTCTACTTATCTGCCTGTGTTTGAATGTGTTTTAAATGTACTCAGCTCATATTTTTAGATTCTTACTTGAAGCCTTAGTGCTATATGCTAAATTTTGGTAAGAAGAAGCCATTCTGAATGCAAAAGCAATTTTGAAGTAATTGCTTCTTTTGAGGAGATTAATATTAAAATAAAACATATAAACAAACAAACAAACAACAAAAAAACAACAGAAAACCAACCAACTGGAAATATAACATAGTATGTATGATAAAAAGTTATTAGCACTTATAATTAGAAGTTGTACTGGGTTTACTTACACATTTTTTCCATTTATGTTTTTATCTTTCTTAAGGATATTTTTAGTCATTGCCATTGCTGATTTTCATTCTGCTTTTTCATTCAATTTAAAAATGAAGATTTCAAATGTTATAAAATGAATGAATGCTACATTATTTTGATTCTCATTGAAATAGGTTTTGCAAATGTGATATTGCCTTATGTATATTATGTATTTCAGCAATAAATAGTCACAACTCCTACATTTAGTATTTATGCTGTGTAAAGTACTATAAAGTAAACTTGTTAAAATTGAAGTCTTAATTAATACATCAAATGTTCCTTATGTTTCTTCATTTTAAGAAATATTTGAGGTGATTACTGCTTTAATTAAAAAAGATCAGTAGTTTTTATTAATATACTTAAAAAAACATAGTTTATGTCCTTGAATACTAAGTAACTAAGCAATGAACCAAAATTCACTCAGAATAACAACGGAATTTCATAGTATTCATTGGCATAGTGTTTCCAATAATTGGATTAGCTTTAGATTGCTGGGAAAGTTATAATAGCTGTTGATTGAAGTGTATTACTGCTATAGCAAGCACTTTTTCAGGAGCTTTATGGAAAATGGAAAAACAAGGAATGAAATCCTAGACCTGTGGAACTCAGAGGCAAATCTCTCACTGCCTTAATGCTATCCAATATTTCATTTAGTGGCTTTGGACAAACACCCTTACAACTAAAGAGTTGGGAGCTGGACTAGATGACCTTTTAAGGTACCTTCCAACTCAAACAGTTCTATAATTCTGTGAAACTCAATGCTCTCATCTTCAGAAAATTCACAAATGTCTTATGTGACCACAGTGGACATTCAGCCTTTAAGGTACGGATGTCATCTACCTAGCCTTCTGCAAAGCCTTTGACATGGTCTCATACCACATCCTTCTCTCTAAATTGGCGAGGTATGGATTTGAAAGACGGACTGTTCAATGGATTAGGAACTGGCTGGCTGGTCTCAGCCAAAGGGCTATGATCAATGGTTCTATGTCTGGGTGGAGGCTGGTCAGAACTGGTGTCCCCCAAGGGTCGGTCTTGGGACCAGTGTTCTTCAGCATTTTCATCAATGACACAGATGATGAAATCGAGTGCACCCTCAGCAAGTTTGCAGATGACACCAAGCTGAGCAGTACAGTTGACACACTGGAGGGAAGGGAAGCCATCCAGAGGGACCTGGGCAGGCTGGAGAAGTGGGCCCTTGTGGACCTAATAAGGTTCAACAGGACAAAGTGCAAGGTGTTGCACTCAGGCTGGGGCAATTCCAGGTATTTATACAAACTGGGGTAAGGTCTCCTTGAGAGCAGCCCTGCGGAGAAGGACTTGGGGGTCCTGGAGGACGAGAAGCTGGACATGAGCCAGCAGTGTGCGCTTGCAGCCTGGATGCCCAACTGTGTTCTGGGCTGCTTTAAAAAAGAGGTGGCCAGCAGGGAGAGGGAGGTGACTGTCCCTCTCTAGTCGGCTCTTGTGAGGCCCCATCTGCAGTACTGCATCCAGGTCTGGGGCTCCCAGTACAGGAAGGATGTGGAGCTCTTGGAGCGGGTCCAGAGAAGGGCTACTAAGATGATCAGAGGGCTGGAGCAGTTCTCCTATGAGGAAAGGTTGAGGGAACTGAGCTTGTTTATCTTGGATAACAGAAGGCTCCAGGAGACCTCATTGTGGCCTTCCAATACTTGAAAGGAGCTTATAAACAGGAGAGGGAATGGTTGTTTACGAGGGTGGATAGTGATAGGACAAGGGGGAATGGTTTTAAACTGAGACAGGGGAGGTTTAGGTTAGATATTAAAAGGAATTTTTTCACACAGAGGGTGGTGATGCACTGGAACAGGTTGCCCAAGGAGGTTGTGGATGCCCCATCCCTGGAGGCATTCAAGGCCAGGCTGGATGTGGCTCTGGGCAGCCTGGTCTGCTGGTTGGAGACCATGCACATAGCAGGGGGTTGAAACTAGGTGATCATTGTGGTCCTTCTCAACCCAGGCCATTCTCTGATTCTCTGATTCTATACCAGCTTGCATGCAGTCATTTTGACCTAACTGAATTTGCCCAGAAAGTCCACTATCCCTATGTGGGCTTGACTTAGTCATAGGCTACATTTCACTTTTCACTTGCCTTCTAAACTAGAGCACTGATTCCTGATTTTTAATTATCATTACTCCATGTACTGACAGTTAAGTCATTTGATACGTGAACATACGTCAGAGACTGAAAGTGAAGAATGTCGCCAATTTATCTCTTCTAAGAGATCATTGGAAAACAGCAAACTGGAAAAAATGAAGTTCATTCCTGCTGCTGAAGTAAGAAGGAAGGCATTGCCTGCTTTTACATTTTGAGTCAGGACAACTAGAATTCTCCCACTCAGCTACAGTTTGTACAGGAAAGAGTTTTGTCTCCCATGCTCCTATGTCACACAATTTCCAAAGCCATTTTATTTTTTCATAGCATGTTTGCCTGCAGCTGAGGCCTATGAGTTGTATACAATTGTAAAATCTGAGAAATTCTTTCAAACCTACTCAGTGTTAAGACAGATAAGTTTTCTATTGTGGATTCCTTGCTAATAGATAAAGGATTGGTGGATTTTAGGTTTTAATCAGCTACATTTCTCTGAATTAGCAATTAGCAACTAACTTACGGTGTTGCATTCTACAACATAGATTAATAAAAGAAAGGTCATGTGCTATGCTCCACATATTCAACACATGCTGATGCCTGTAACCTATCAGCAGCTGACTGACCTGATTAATTTCCATGGTTTCATTCAGCTTCACTCTTGAAATTCTTGTGGTCTGCTGAGCAAATAAAAAGTATCCCAAATTTAAAACATGACCACCATGAAAGATTTCCAAGAAATCAGACTTTTTAATAAGATATTTGCTGTTCATAGGACCAAACATTATGTAACTCAGAAAAAAATTACTTCTACTGTGAGCAGATCATGAGCTGTGAGAAAGCCTTGTTACAGAGAGAATTAAATAAAAAGCCCCATATTAAAAGGAACCAATAAATTTTGGACAAGAAATATATTAGAGTACATACTACACTGATAAGAAAAAGTATACTATGTTATTGATGATATACAGATAAATCAAGATAGAAAGGTAGAATTAAAACAAGAAGTTTCGTCTTCATTCATTTATACATTTTATAAATCAATGTATAAATTTTTCAGTTTCATTTATAAATAATTGAAATTATAAATTTCAAGCACAAAATTAGTGTAAACTTTTGATCTTCTATATTCTGAAAGCCACATAATAAGCAGTCTTCCTCTGCCTTTTCAGGTATTTCCTTCAAGGAGAAAGAGTTTTCTTGTTATGGAGGATAAAACAGTATGACTTAACATAGGCTAAGCACTGCTTAAAATAGAAGAATATTGATAGAGAGGAGCTCTAAAGGTGCACTCATGTTCACTGTATGAAAATGTTCAAAGTTATCCTCTTTGCAGTGTCTTCTTCAAGTGTCTTCCTGAAGATTTTTAACTTTCACTGTTTACTATATTTTATTGTTGTTTTACAGAGAAATGGTTAATGCATGGTTTGCTGAGAGAGTTCATACCATCCCTGTCTGCAAGGAGGGGACCAAGTCTCAGAGTGAATCCTGTGCTTGTCACCAGCCTGCCTGCCCTGAGACCACCAACTCTGGAACACCAGCAAGGAAAATCTCTGCTTCAGAATTTGACAGACCCTTGAGGCCGATTTTTGTCAAGGACTCGGTAGGAGCAGTAAGCTTCCTCTCTGGCTCTGAAAAGAAGGAACAGATGCCTCTGCAATCTCCAAGGACTGGGACCAATGCAGGGGATCGGTGCTCAAGGCTTTTAGAACTTGTGAAAGACATTTCTAGTCATTTGGATGTCACAGCACTTTGCCATAAAATTTTCCTACATATCCATGAGCTTATAGCTGCTGATCGCTATTCCTTGTTCTTGGTCTGTGAGGATAGCTCTAACGAGAAGTTTCTTGTAAGCAGGCTGTTTGATGTGGCTGAAGGTTCCACCCTGGAAGAAGCTTCAAATAACTGCATTCGCCTGGAGTGGAACAAGGGCATCGTGGGCCACGTAGCTGCTACAGGCCAGCCTTTGAACATCAAGAATGCATATGAGGTAAACCAAGAAGACCTGTCATGAACTATTGTGAAACTAGAAACAGCCATATTATCAGCTGATGTAATATTGTCATTTTAGTATATGTATTTGGAGCTACACTGACATACCCCAGTAAAGATAGAAAGCAGACAGTAAACTTCCAATTATAATACATGTATTACACACAGACACAGAAACTTGGAGCTATGACTAATGCAACTGGAATGATAACTTCCAAATAAATTATTTAACTTTGTTATTAGCAGTCTGATTTTCAGCCTTAACCATTTATGTGCACATTACTGTTTGCACTTCTAGCTTTGAACAAGAAAAAGTTTAGGTTTCTGTACCAAAATGAATGAAATTATGAGTGTAATTGTCTGCAAAACTAGAGTCTTACAACAGAAAACAGTTTTGAGGATTTGACTGTATCTGAGGCATAAAGAGCAGGAGCGGAAGAAATAAGACCAGGATGAGGGTTTGAACTGTATAGCAGTCTTCCAAATAAAATAAGATTATAATTTGTCTAATTTAATACAAGGCTAGATGAAAAAAAGGAAGGGAATCCAGCAGTGGGACAAGACTTCTCTTACACCTCATCTGAACATCACTTGTTTCCAGAATCTTTGGATATGTTTACTTTGTGCTTTGAATTTAGAGGTGATGGAAATGTATTAAATTAATTGATTGAGTCAGATATACAGAGATAAAAATGCACAGTGCACTTCTGATCAATCGTGTCTTGGTTACTGTGAGCATGGTTATAGAATTGGGCACCATTACCAAGTAGTATTTTTCAGAAGCTACAAGGAGTGCAGAATGATTGCATATGTTGTTTTAATTTTCAAGAAACTCAAAAAACATTTGTTAATTACATTATTACAGTGGGACTTTACTTATCCTTGTATTTTAAAAGTTTCTCCTTGACTTGGGTCAGTGTGCTCAATTTGAAATAAATTGCCAGAGAAAAGACAGCAGCCTTTAGAAATGGATAGTGAGGTTTAAAAAAATCAAGGCTTTATAACAACATTCAGCTGAAAAAAAAAAAAAAAAGATGCAACAGAGTAAGCCAAAAAGAACAGCCATCTTCATGAAACGTTGTTTTCCTGTGGCCACATGTCTTTCTGAATGTTTCTGAAATTTCTGCTTGATGATAAAAGCTACATTGGAGATACATGCATAAATTAATTATAATGATGGTCTAGACTGAAGAAAGGCTTCTTCTGACAGTTTTTTTTTTGTTTGGTTGGTTGTTTTTTTTTCTCTGTCTGGCAACTGTTTATCCACTGGCACTCATGATGCACTTTTTTTTTTTTTTCCTTTGAACACACAGTTAATAACAACTTTGATTATTAAGTAGTAATGGAACCTTTGCTATCCTATATAACAGTTAATTCAGATGTCAGACTTTTTCAACCTTTTAAAAAGGCATGTATTCAAATAATCATATTTTTCTCTTGTATCAGGATCCAAGATTCAATGCAGAAGTTGACCAGATCACAGGGTATAAGACTCAGAGTATTCTCTGTATGCCAATAAAGAATCATAGGGAAGAGGTAAGTTGCAGAATTGGGATCACTTTCTGTAATACAGTTTCTTGCTATGCCAATTCTTTAAACTTTTCTTAACTGTCAATCATTATCTTACAGCATAAAACTATCTCTTTTTAAAAAAGACTTTGTGCTTATGATTGCCTGGACTTCCATTTTTTCTTATCTAGCTCAGTAATATAAGACAAATGGAATTGTCAAGAGGCAGAAGTAGAATATACATATTTAATTCTAGATGTGCCATTCATTGTTCCTGTCAGCATTGAAATTCTCTGCATATTTATTGGTCTTTATCAGCATACTCTCAGATTGCAGTTAAGAGTTAGTGCGCTTCAACTTGGACTGTATCTAGATTATGTTCATCACAGGACACTAATTGTTTTTATCATTGTCTAAAACATTTTTTAGATTCTGTTAACTCTGGTCATTAACAATAAATTTAGAACCATAGTGCTTAAGACCAGGCGCTGAAAACATGTGGTGTTTATATAATTCAGAAAAATCTCTGTTAAGTTATTGTCCTGGTTTGGGGGAGATAGAGTTAATTTTCTTCCTAGTAACTGCTATGGGTTTATGTTTTGGATTTAGGATGACAGTAATGTTGATAACACACTGATATTTTAGTTGTGGCAGAGCAGTGCTTACACTAAGTCAAGGTCTTTTCAGCTTCTTGCACAGCGCTGCCAGAAAAGATTTTGGGGCACAAGGAGCTGGGAGGTAAAAGAACCAGGGCAGCTGACCCAAACCAGCCAAAAGGATGCCTCGTACCATACGGCGTCATGCTGGACAGTTAAACTTGGGGGAGTTGGCCAGCAGGAGTTGCTGCTGCTCAGGGACTGGCTGGGCATTGGTCAGCGGGTGGGGAGCAATTACACTGTGCATCACTGGTTTTATATATTTTCTTATATTTTTCTATATTTATATATAGTTTCCCTTCCTTTTCCATCCTATTAACCTGTTGTTATCTCAACCCATGAGTTTTAGTTTTTCTCCAATTCTCTCTACTGTGGGGGGAGTGAGCAAATGTCTGCATGGTGCTTAGCTGCCTATTGGGTTAAACACAATGTTCATCTAACTTAAAGTGAAATCACTATAAAATAAAATGTCTCTGTTTGTTGATCTCTTGCATGCATTTTCCATCGATGCTAATTATCACAGAAGTTCTCCCTTTGAATATGATGCTATCGCAGTAGGGAGAATTCTTATTATGAAATTCTTGTAATGTCTTCTTATGCTGAGATATTCAAGAATGAATTCAGTAAAGATAAAGAAAGCATAAAAGTGGAATTGAAAAAAAGGCAAGATCCATGTTCTTACCTGGGGAGATAGTTTGTATTTCTTTGCTGTTTGTTTTTTGTTTTGTTTGGTATTTGATCCTGAAAGTAATAGCCTTCAGCCACATCACCAGTTCTTAGAATGCTTGCATAGTGTAAGGCTCTTCACAGAGTGCACCCGGGATTTAAGATGGAGATTTTCTCTCCCGTATTTCCTTTGTTTTTGCAGACTATGTATCGTTTCCAGATAGTTGAAAGTCCTCAAACTCCAAGAACAAATTCTGCAAAGATTATTTTGAAGATACTAAACCACCTTTTTCCTTGCTCTTCCATTTTTTCAAATCCTCTTACGAAGTATGTCACCCTGACTGTCACATTATTAAATAAACTGATTAAGCTCTTGAATTTAGCTGATCTGTTGAACCTTACTCTAGCTAACCCAGACCATCAACCAGAATTTCCTTTCTTTACCTACCATAAACTTTGGTTTAAAATATTATTTCAGTACTTTCAAGGAGAAAGCTTGAAACTGGCTTGAGTTGATAGTGCCTCATGGACAACACTTGTAGTCTTGCTCTCCTGCTCTCATGCCCACTGAAAAGCCTCCCCTGTTCCAGTCTGCAGCAGCCACTGCTGGCCCTAAGCCAGCTGACAAGCAAATCAGATGTTGTGTGGAGGGCATACAGAGAGCAGTGCTCCATGTCAAACTGATGTAAGGTTTTAAATTTCACCCACGCCATCCCATTTTCTTTGTTCTCAAATGGAAAAAAGTCTGTGTTCTCCTGTAATTGCAATCAGAAATTAATTACAAGGCCTTGCAAGCCAGAGAGCATGAAAGTGCTAACTTCTTATTGAGTCCTCATGGTGAATGGAGGACAGAATAGGACTTGTGTTTGTTGGTGAAATATGCCATGACTTACAGGCTGAATAAACCTGCAATTGGCCGTATCTTCTGTTAGGTTTCTCCTCTTAAGTGCATCAGCAAATGGAAATGAAGCAGATACGTATTTATTTTGAAAGCTTCAGCCAACATGAATTTTGTGGAGAGAGTTACACTGACTCTTATATGCAATAATTTGAAGGAGCTAAGCCAGGAGATTTCTGCTAGGAAAGGATAACACTTTTTCTTTCCCTTCTGATTTTAAAGTCTCTACCAGAAGGTTTTTGTCCCTCTCACTGTAACAGTTTGCTGATATCCTTCTGGACAGATGTTGGAGTCAGTGAAACAGTCTTCAACTTGCCATCCGCTTTTTGAAGAAAAAAGAAGAAAAAAAAAAAGAATACTGTCTCCTCCCTGTAAAAACAAACTAAATAAGTAAATAAATTCCCAAGGCCCCTCTAGAAATACTGAAGCTAATGAATGCTTCCTTAGCCCACATCAGCAGCCACAGTCAAAAGATAATTCTGGAAGACTTCCAAAAATAAACACTGAGAATGAGAAGCAAATGTGTCTTTTTTGTTTGTTTGTTTAGTATTGGTATTCTTTTTTAAAACAAAGGAGTCGTTAATTCAGGAAGAAAATCTCACGTTGATTATAAAATGCTCTGGGCCTGCTGAAGTATGAAGATTTTTCCAGTAGATGTTTTTCACATTTCCTTTATTTCCATGAGGCCTGTGAGAAACCGACGTCTTACTTAAAAATAACTACTAATAAGAAATTCCATAGATGAAAAGAAGAAAACAGTTTGATTCACAGTAGTGCTCACAAAAAGGACCCAGCAACTAGTATTAATCTTGCCAAGAGAAAAGTAGTAAAGTATAAGTCTGTCTGCACAGACGCACTGAAGAATGGAAATACATTGATGTGATAGTAGAACATTTAATGTTTTTCATTCCCCTGCTCAATCTACTCTTGCTGACAGAAATGCCACAAAAACATTATATTACATCCTGTGATCAGATCACAGATGCTTGTGTAGTGCTAGTTTGTAAAGAGTTCTCATTTGCTCATAAAACACTGCAAATACAAAATGACCAAGCTTTGTTTCAACTTCAGGGGCTTTGATCAAAGTCCTGATACCTGTAAATCAGTACTGTGGAATGACTGTCTAATAATTAAATGGAAATCCTGTCCATCTCATCATATGCCAAAAGAATTGCCACATGATGCTTGGAGACAGACAAGGCTATATCATTTGCTATTCTTTTTTTACCTCTGAAAAGCCATAGAACCATAGGTTGGAAAAGACTTCTAAGATCATCCAATCCAACTGCGCACTTATCGCTGATGTTGCCCACTGAACTATCTGGCTAAGTGCTACATCCACCCTTTCCTTAAACACTTCCAGGGACATTGACTACACCACTTACTTCCCTGGGCAGCCTGTTCCAATGCATTACCACTCTTTTTGAGAAGAAATTCTCTCTAATATCCAACCTGAATGAGGAATGTGAATGAGGTAGAAAGGCCCTGAATGGGAGTCATTAGGTTAAACCAATTTGTAGAGTTATCCAGAACTGATACAAGGGTCAGTACAGCTCTCTGGTTTGGGATATCTGTAGAATGGATGTTTCCTGACTGGGAGAGTCATCACAACTGGTGTAGAATGTGTACAGAAATGACATCAGTTTCTGCTATTTCTACATTATTTTTCTTTCAGTTGTGCAAAGAAATTTCCATAATATCCTATTTTGATTTAATTTCTATTAAAATCTGTAGCATTTTCTCATTTGGGGACTTTCAGTTGTACTGAGTGAGACTTGTCATTCAGACTCTAGGCCTCAAGTACATGAGGCTGAACTTCCTACTAATTGGCAAGGCAACTCTTTTTTTTCTGGGAATACACAGTTCAATTGTTCAGTTGTTGGTGTTGTCTTAATTTTCTTTATCTCCTGTCACCTTGAAGCTTTTCCAAATACATCAGGGGCATATTCTGTTTACACCAGCCTTTTTAAGTATCCTGACGAACTTTATAAAATATAACCATGTTAACGTGGTGCAGTGTAGAAATACCCAACTTCACTTGAAACAAACTGACTCTGGTTTCTAGCAGCAGTCTTGCTGCAGGATTATGGAAAACAGTCATTTGCTTCTTGGATGGATTTTCATCTTATGCTGAGATATTTTGTAGCAGCTAGACTGCTAGGAGTCATCTAGGCTGCTGCTGGCAAGAATGATAGAGGATGTGAAAGTTTGCTGATTAAAAATGAAAGCCTGTAAACACAAGTCTGTCCCTACAGGATAATTTTGTAAGCCTGATCAAAGTTCTACAAGAGCAGGAGAGCAAAGAAAGCTTAAAACCACTTAATTTGTCCTCTCATGTGAATATGTCCCACCTTTACAAAGAGATAAAAGTTGAGTTTTCCTCTTCCTGTTACCATTTTTTGGCTTTGCCCACTTTTTTTTAAGGTGCCAGGAAAAAAATACATACGTTTTTTATTCTGAGGATGCAAAACAGTCTTTTTAAAATCAGCTGAAGTAAGAACAAACTAAAAAGGGCACTGAATCCCTGTAGAGCTGGAAAAGTTTTCACAGAATTAGGCCTGCAGTCTTAACGTACAGAGAACTGCAGCACATTCAGATAAAATTCAGATCAGTTACCAGGACTGAAGTCATTAGTTATCATCGGATAAGAAACATTCCAGGTAGCCTGCTACTTCTAGAGGCAGGAGACAACTACTGGAAGAGAATAGTTAGTAAAAGTAATGCCCTCTGATAAGTAAAAGAAATCTCTCCTTGTAACGTGGATCACATTTTATTGAATGGGTTAAGTGTTACAGCTAAAGAAGAAAGGTTACAGAACAAGCGGCAGCACTGGAAGATTGCTCGTGTTGCCAGCAAGAATACAATTAGGAGAGCTGTGTTCTGACCTGGAAAAACAGGTATGGCTATCAACCCAGTAACTGTTAGGTGTTTGTTTTTTATTTCCTTTTCTGAGACTGACAATAAGAGAACTATTCCATCATCAAAATTGCTTTTGTGTTCGCAATATATGTTTGCCTTATAGCATCTGAATATCGAATTACAAAGTATTTGGTATCTGATCCAAGAGGACTTTTTTTTCTATTGATTTATTGATCTATTGAAAGAAGGCTGGACAAAGGAGTAAGCTCCTTTGTGTACAGCTTATTATTTTCTGCCCACCCCTTTTGCGCTTCAAATACAGCAAACCTGGATAGAGGGTCTTGCTAGGAGCTCCATGACTGCTATGGTGTAACACCCTACCTAAAAGCTCATGAAAAAGCATTTTTAGCACTCAACAGATCACTAGTTACTTTAGGGATTAGGGCACAAGATTACAGATATCTGAGTACAAGCAAATAGTAATTACTTCAATGTTTACTCTCCCTTATTCTTGGCTTTCTTTTTTCCACAGCACTTCCTAATGATTTTCTAGTAGTCATCCCCTTTCATGGCTGTTTAAGCCTCTGTTTCCTACTAGTTTTTCCTTGGTTGAACAACTGATATGCAGGATAATTCTGTAGGCATAGCGAGACAGTGACAAAAAGTAACTATCTTTGATTTAGTGCTGCAGCTTTTAAGAAGGTTCATTTAGTGTTTGCTTGTTAAGGAAGAAAGATGAAACAGTAGGTGATTTAAAAAAAAACAAACAAACATATTTTTGTTAGACTGGAACAGTACATACATCAGTGAATGTTCAAGTGGGCTGTCACTTTTTTTACAGTGTTCTTCAGGCTTTCCAGAGAATTATCTTTATCTCATATATACAGATATGTCTTGTTTATTGCCACAAATATATCACACTTTTATCTGAGTAACATTTCTGTACAGCTTAGCTCATAGTAGCTACTGTCAACCTTTTATTCAACATATATTCAACATAACACCCATCTGGAGAGACCAGACCTATGTTGTTTCAGATTTATTTATATTAAGTTTGAAAAATGAAGATTTGGTTTTCATACTGTGCTTAGAATTCTTTAAAATGCAGGCCTATGTTTGACACAGCCTAAAATGCTATCACTTTTGTCCTAATTACGTAATCATTTCAGTAAAAGGAACAAATCTCCCTGGGTTTTTTACATCTTCTCCTCATTACCCTCTCTCATACCCCAATCATGGTATCATTAAGATTGGAAAGACCACTATGATCATGTAGTCCAGCTATCAACCCATCACCACCATAGCACTATATCACATCACTCAGTGCAACACCAACACATTTCTTGAACACCGCCAGGGACCATGATTCCACCACCTCCCTGTGCAGCTTGTTCCAATGCCTCAACACTTTTTCTAAGAAGAAATTTTTCTGAATAACTAACCTGAATAATACACATCTCAGTGAAGTCCACTTAAATTTGTACTGGTATAAATACAATTCAGGCCAGAATTTGAGTCAGTTTAATTTTATAATGTGTCATTTTATATGCAAAAATTGCTCATAAAACAAGGTTCTCTTTAAAAGTTTAGAATGTTACTGGAAAATGTACTCTTTTTGTCAATATTTTTTACTAAAAAAAAGTACTTTATACAGTTTGTCTTTTGCATGAAATTGCTATTATCAAGACAAGTATGAACTTTTAATAGGTTTACTCTCCTCAGTGTTCTTTCCCCCTTCTATTAAAAGCTTTTATTGGATGGACTTAACAAAGACACAAAATGACCATTTCCATTGGAACACATGCTTTTTTTAACTTATGAGAAACCTGCAGGCTAATGAAGGGAGGCTAAGTAGTCTTTCTGTGGTACTAATATGGTCCTGTTACTGTTTCCTTTTAGTTTTAAGCACGCCCAGCTTTCCTTTCATTGTGAGGGAGATGTTTACACAAGACAAAATTACTCACCTTTAAGAGCCTCTTAACTCATTAAAATTGTCCTCCTTCATGCTGGATCAAAGCTGGAAAAAGAAAAAGAAAAAAATGAGAAACCCAGAAAAGATAGCAGTCGGAGAAAAGGCTTAAGCATTAGTCTTTGCACATGCAAGTAAATGTAAAAGCATACAGATTTATTAAAGGATTTGCTTACAATTCAAAGCTGGCTGTAGAAATAAATATGGCAAGTATATTGTTATTACATTGAGAATGCTCTCTAGATAAGAAATCATCACTGAAGTAAATGAGAAGTTGACTGTGGGAAGTCTTGCATTGTATGGAAAGGACATGACAGCTGAGCTTTATTTCAGACAGACATTTTTGAGCCCACAGTTGGCAGTGACTCATGCTGCAGAACAATGACCTTACTTGTAGCATCAGTATTTTGGGAATGCTGCTGTGAGAGACAGTAAACTGTTGTCTTTTCCATTACGGAAATATAACTGTATGACCTCCTTCAGTTTAGCAGTTATAAATGTCATGAGTAACACATAAATACAGCTTCTTAAACACACACAACATAGTTTTCTCCTGATATTGTTTATCCTAAAAAAGTAAGATGAAAAAACTACTGTCATTAACAACTTGAAATGGTCTTGTATGACTTCAATCTCAAAGCAATTTTTTTCAAAACCTATCTTTAAGTAAATACTTACAGTAACAAACTTGATTCTGGCAGGTACCCAACATGTGCATACTGTTTTTCAATTCTAACTGAACAGTTCCAGAAATAAACAGAAAGCAAAAAGATCACAGTAGAGAGATCTTGTAAGAAGCGGAAGGTTTTGGAAACTTCATCAGAGCTAGCAGGAAGGGTAGGTTCTACACACAAAAGTAGATGGCAGTTTCAGAAGTATAAACCACTGCTGCCCTTGTGTGAGATGATTGCTTCACTTTATAGAACAAGTCTTGGATCAAACCAAACATTCTTTATAAGAGCATCCAGGAATTTTGCCACTGTTTTTCTTTCTGATAAGTCAGGCTCATGCTCAAAAATTTGTAATACAAATAAATCAGAAATAAACAGGTTTAAATGCAAAAGTCAACCAAAGGAATACATGTAGTAATCATTTATTTTCATGTATGTCTAGGAATACCACAGTCCAACGACAGACTTCTCAAAAATGATGTAATTATTTCATTTTTAATACACTAGGTTGTTGGCGTGGCTCAAGCAATTAATAAGAAATCTGGAACGGGTGGGACTTTCACGGAACAAGATGAAAAGGTACAGAAGCTGGACATTTATGTCTCTGTTTTCATAGGAGAGCAGGGGTTGAAAATGTTACTGCTTTTCACACTGATCAGACATTTTAAAGTTATGAAAAATGAAACACCTCTAACAGGAAAATTCCTTGTTATATTGCAGAGTTTTTTCGCTTGTAAAGCCATGAGAAAAGTAGATGGGATGTAGTTTAATTTCTTGATCAGAAAGATACCTCTCATATGCCTCTGAAACACAGGCTTACTCTACTGAAATACACTATAGGACAGCTTCACAGCTTATAACAGACATAATCTTTTATGAACTGATATTAACTTTCCTGGCATTCCCAACAATATGTATTTTGGATATTAAAATTTGTCTAGTGATTACTTTTTAAATACTGCATCACTTCCCAATACAGCAATTGCAGGAAGAGAAAAGCCTCGGATAAATTATAAATATATGAGATCATCAGAAGAGGAGATGGCAACTTGACTCCCAGTTCTCTCACGGTAGTTGTTTTCCAGACATTTCTGGAACTCACTTTAAATTTGTATAGCAAAAAAAGCTGAAGATGATTCAATATCTGTCAATAAAAAAAATCAGAATTTACTGTTTCCTTTTGAAAACTTTCCCATTTAAAGCAAAATGTATACAGAGTATCTGCAAGATATCAGAATTAATCACATTCAGAAACTGAAAAAAAAATTGTGGTTTTGCTATGTTAACAGAATATTGTTCCACTTCAGAAGAGACTGAATTCCCCATAATAACAGATGCTGATTGTCTGTACTGTTTTTCTAGGTAATATCTGTGTTATTGCAAAACGACTTGATTCTTATTCTGATCCTACTTTCACCAGGATAAACTTGCAAGACTATTCTTTTAAAAAAGGGAGAAGAGATTCTTGAGGAAAAAAAAGTATGAGTGGCTGAAAAAAACCTGAATTGCCAGAAATATCTTTAAATATCAATTAATACTTCAAGATGAAAAAATGTAACAGTTGAACTTTGAATAAAGCTAAGAAGCTGAGAGACACTATCTTCATCAGAAGCTTATGTTTATTTCTCTACAGGATTTTGCTGCATATTTGGCATTTTGTGGAATTGTTCTTCACAATGCTCAGTTGTATGAAACATCTTTGCTTGAAAACAGGCGTAATCAGGTATGATCAACAGGTTTGTCCCAAAAATATAAAAATTACAGTTAGCTAGAAATCAGTGCATTCTGCTGTTTCCTTCTCATGTGGCAGCCATTCCTTGGCAATTTTTAATTTCTCTAATTGAATACTATGCATAATACTGCGTAAATATACTAAATGTTGCCTGAAGTTACCCTGTGGCTCACTGTGTATATTACACAACCAGATGCTTCCATACTCCAGAAATTTCAGGTAAAATTATCCATACAAAATTGTAGAGATTATACGGATTGCTCTTTTAGACTCCTACAACTATAAATAGTCACTAACAATATTTTCCATAATGATCAGACAGGAAATAGAATTTTCTTTTTACTCTGTAGCCATCTATGTAATTGATGGTTTATTAATGCCATGGTCTCTACGGGTGGAGTATGTCTACCCAATATGGTATGAAAAGGCTTTGGAGAAACAACTAGGCAGCAGGTCTTTTAATAACTTTCTGGTAGGTCTGAGTTTCCAAGTGAATATCAGTGTTCGTAAATTGGTACAAATTTGGATAATCTTTTCAAATTGGTTCCATGCTTCCTGTGGGGATAAAGGGAGTATAATTTGCCGACATCTGAGCAGAAGTCCTTCAGCAACAGCTTTGAAATATGACAGCCTGCGTCTAAATGATGTTTTTACCAAATGAGTTCATTAGGATTTGTTTGAATTACCACGAATAATTGTGTTTGAAAGTCTAAAGTAATTTAAATATCACTGTTGACGTTCTTATAATGCACACATGAGCCATAGGAATTTATTAGGTTTCCTAAGGGCAAATTAGAGTTTGTGGTCTGGACTTCTCAAATTTCATTTGATCAACTGTTAATGCCCAAATCTACTCTGTCTCTCCAACTGAAAACATCAGACAGCTAATTATGCTATCAATTTCTTCCATCAAACATGTCAAACTGACTTTTAATTACTGCTGCCTTGCGGTCTGTGTAAGAGCCAAAGCTTAATCTTTGTCACAGATGTACGTGTTGACTTCCTTGGTTCAGGGAGTAGGGGGAAGAATCATACTGAGTAGTAACTGTAATTATTGTTTTCATCACAGCTAGTCAAATTTTCACAAAGACCTGTTTTCCAGGTGCTTCTTGATCTTGCCAGCCTTATTTTTGAAGAACAGCAGTCTTTGGAAGTCATTCTGAAGAAGATAGCTGCCACTATAATATCCTTCATGCAGGTGCAGAGGTGTACCATTTTCATAGTGGACGAAGATTGCACTGTGAGTAGGATTTTTTTATTTAAAGGCAGAAGAGCTTATTCCCTAGAGGAGGTATGAACAACCTATAGGCTGCAGAAAAGGAGAAGGATTTTATTTTGTAATAATAATCTCTCTCAGTGTATTTAAGAGATTCATTCCTGAATACAACCGTACAGAAGAAGAATTTACATAATGCGTGTATTCACATAGTCATACTGTCTCTGCAAGTCAACCAAACTCCAGCACTTACTTTCCAGTCTGTAGTTTGAATCTTTAGTGCAGGGACAATCTAATTTCTCCTTGCAATTAGGATTCTCAATTGTAGGGAAAAAAACTACATGAAAAGCAATACAGATTTGTTGAAATGCTTAGAAGGCATTGATGTCCTCATCTCCACAAGCAAAGCAGATATTATGCACTCTTGGTGCATTCACTTGGATGAATGTTCAAATTTGGAACTTCCAGGGATAGATGGTACAGCTTATATACTGGCATTTCTTCTCAGAGTGATCAGTAGAGATTCAAGATACTTCAGTGATATTAAAAACTACCTATTTTTGTCATAGGATTCTATACTGTTGCTGCTTGATATGAAATGAAGTTTAACAGTTTTATATCTACATTTATTACAGAGCAGATGTTGATAATAGCACATGAATGCTTTCCACATGAATACTACTCTAGTTATTACTCTACTACTACTCTAAGTTATTACATCCACATCTATAAATTATAATATCCTCTTGTTTTTTCAGGATTCATTTTCTAGTGTGTTTCATATGGAAGCTGAGGAATTAGAAGATTCAGCAGAAAATCAGAAGAGGTAAAGCAATGAAATTAAGCTTTTGTTAACCACCGGAAAATGTTGAAGAAATTATGTTTTTAATGTTATTTTTCATAATAAAGAACCGGTGTACCATTTCATCCCACTGGCTACCACATATTTCTGCTATCTGTTGTGGAGCAGATTTATCCTGAAACATACATAGACAAGTTGTCACATCGAGAAGCCTAGGAGAACAAGGCCTGGCCTCTTCACTTTTTCAAGTTCATTTCTACAACTCAAGGAATATGATTGACAAAATCAAAAGAAAAATTGTAAAGTTCTTTCAGTCATCTTCAAGAAATGACTAGGGATTTAAGCTCGGAGGAAGAGAAAGATGTAAAAATAATTGAATTCAAATATTCAGATTACGTAGTTGGCAAAATTTAATCTGAATCTCTCTATATTTAAGTTTTGAAAATTAACTGCCTCCATAACCTGTCTGTCATCACAGGCAGTTGATACCAATAGCGTCAGAAGAATGAAACACAGTCCTATCAAAAATACAGTACTACAGATGTCACGTCCAGAGAGAAAATCAAAATTTCCATACCTTTGATCTTTTTTTAGTGAACATTTCTGATATGAATTTTAATAATATGC